CAGAGATGTGTATAAGAGACAGCGTAAACAATTTTGAGATTCGTCGGGTCTCCTTTTCTATCTGTGTAATTCCATAAAAAAATCAATAGGATTGTTTTCTAAAGTGTCGATTTGAAAAGTAGAGATTTCAAGCTGTAAAATGCTTTTTTAACATCTCGATATGATTATTTTTGGCGAAGTTACACTCTTGAATTTTGCCTATTTTTGGAGGGTAGAGTAAGTGATGCTTTAATTTTGTTGAGAAGTGTAATAAGGTTATGCGAGTAACGGTAATTATAGTTACTTTTAAAAAAATAACTTTTCATTTTCTGATAATCTTTGATTGGCATTACTTGCCTCATCAAAATACAGAGCTGACTTCCGTTATTCACTGCGAGAATTGAAAGTTTATAGGCTGCGTTCAGGAAGCGCGTTATCAGAGCTATTGCTTCATTTCGTTCTTATTTTACGTCTAATTAACGATAACGTTAAAACGACATAATGGCACTATTATATCATTTTATGTTCGCTATAAAAAGTCAAATTATAGATACGAATTTACTATAAAAGGGAAGTCGAAATTATACTATCTCTCAGTTTCATTTTTGATCTTAGAGTGAGTTAATCATCGCGAATATGCAGCTATCTCTATAAAGCCTTTTGAATAATCGGCGTTCTTGCGCAGCGTATGTATTATAAAATCACATTGTACAGTGATAAAGTACTCTATTATTTATTTCGATTTTTGTTCTCAATGAACATTTTACTCGCCAATCTCATTTAACTATGTTTACTGATCGTGCATTCTGCAAGAAATGTGTATTCATAATTTACAAAGACGTTCGCTTACCTGGGCGTCGATGTTGCCAAGCCAGGCGAATTCTCGTATCAGCTCCGTGAGATACGATGGCAGTTATATTTGTGATGCACCATCATCTCTCCGAAGAATATCTTGACTGTTGCTGATTGCCTGGATAATATCGTAACTCAAACCTACGACAATCGATTCTTCACGGTTGCGACTGGCTCCATTAAAAACAATGAAGCCGCGAGATTTACGCTGTAGAGAGCATTACCAAACATCCGGGATACACGGGCATGGAAAATTCTTGGGAGAATAACATTGCAGTAATCATATAGTATGTTCACATATTATTAGGATAGTTCGGCCACTGCAATTTGTTTCTGCAATTTCGAAAGCGCCACACAATTTATAATTTCTTCCTAATTTCTCTTAAGGTCTTCCTTCTTGTCCTTCATTTATTTTAATCTCTCTTTTTTCGTTTAAATTATTTGTTCTAATCATCTGTTTTGATTGTTTCAGTTCGACAGCCCGATTAGATTCAATCAATACCAACATTCGATCCCCCTAGCCACCGATAAGCTTGTTAGCGGAACGAGATATATCGTATCTGGATGGAATAATAACGGACGGTTCGAATTCTGAAAACTCGGATGGTCTCTTCTGAAAACGGAAAAGATCGTGATCACGAAGAGCCAATGCCAACGAAGCTACGATAATACTTTGAGTGAAGACAACTTGTGCACGATCTGCAGTTCCAATGGAATTGGTGATTGCTTTGTAAGTATGTTCATTGTTAAATATAAGGAAAATAGTTTCTCTAATTTTATATAGACGATTGACCAATTGTTGAAAGGATTTAATAATTGAATTTTTAAAAAAGATAAAACACTTCTGTACTTTAATATTAATAAATAAGTCTAGCCTCGGCCGTTGCGTTTTCTTCAATTTGTATTTTGTATACATTGGCGGTCTGATTGAAAATGTTGTTAATAAATGAGTGCTATAATTAAATCTATTCGGAATTGTTGATTCTTAATCCATTATATTAAATCTTTTCAGGCTCTTGAGGCAGGTATAACTATGCGGATTACTACTAATTTCCAACGCATTTTTAAGAACAAAATAGTTAATAATTTGTAAAAAAAAGTATCATAAAAAATAATGAATTTTGTTGTTTATAAAACAATTAATATAGTATTTGTTTACCCATTCTAAAGGCAGTATAAAAAGCTACGATTTAATTTTTTTGTTAAAAATTATGATGTATCACAATAAATTTTGCCGAATGCTAAATTGTATAATATTCATTATCATAATAGCAGATTAAGCATGCGACAGCTAGCTTACCTAATAATAATATTATAACTTATGTTTTGTTGATTCCAAAATTCTGATAGTCTGATGTATAACATATGATATATAATATAACATATATATACAGGGTGGACTATTTTAATCCATCCAGTCGAATATCTCGAAAATCAAGCCCGGGAGAGAAAAATTTTTCAGACAAAAGTTGTTTGGTTTCAAAGAGGACATAAGATGATAATATTGGTTTG